AAGAAAAGGCTCGCCGCCGAGCTCCACGCCGCCGCCGGCGCCATGGACAGCACCCCCGCATGGCAGAGGGCCATCGAGGATCTGGCCGGCGATGACGACGCGCTCCGCACGGACCTGGAGAAGATAGTGAGGTGGTTCCCCTCCGGCCAGATGCTCCTCCACCACGCGCGTGGCCTGGTAAAAGTCATGACCGACGACGAGAAGCGTCGCGCCATGCCTGCACCCGGCGTAGCTCCGGTCCTGGTCTTGAGCTTCGCAATGGCCGAGACGAGGTCGGACGATCCGAGGCAGCGCGCGGTGGTGGATGTACCGCTCCACCACCACGCCGTCGCCGCACCCGGATCCGTTCCGCGTTGCCTCCAGGATGCAGCGCGTCGATGACGTCGTCCTCGCCGTCCCCGCGCCGGTCAACACCGCCTACTGGGACCGCTTCAAGCCCGACATGCTCGTCCACGACGACATCTCCGATGTCCAATCCTCCTCCTACGATGAATCCTTCTCCGACGACTCCGACTCTGGCTACAAAGCGGATAGCGAGTCTTCAGGCGAGGAGGAGATAGAGGTGGTCGTACTATCTGACGACGAGCCGGACAACGTTGTCATGCTGGAGCCCGTCGTCGCCGGCAAGGAGGGCGACAGGGACCACCCCATTGAGGTCGACCTGCTGCCAGAAGTGCCTGACATTGTCAAGAAGGAGGTGGTGGAGGAAGTGCTGGCGGAGGTGGTGGATGGCTCGAAGAAGAGGAAGAAACCGACGAAGATTCAAGTTGCAGGGGAGGTGCGCTGCTCCCAGCGTCTGAAGCAGCTCAAGAACTGAAGAACTGAAGACTGCAGAATGTAGTTAGGTATGCTGAGTAGCATATAAGTTAGCATATCAGAATGTAGTTAGGTGTGCTGAGTATATGTTTAGCACATAAGTTATTTGTAGTTTCGAATGGGTTAGGTCTGGAGTACTTTTGGTATGTCTTGAACTAGTGCTGCATCCTGGAGGGTTGAACTTATGCTGCAACTACCTAAGTTATATGCATGTTGCCATCTGTTGCTTTCATATGTTGTTGCAGCTGTTGTTAGTTGTATATGCTGCTACAAAATGTTGCTGTTCAGTTAAAATGAGTTTACTGAAAAAATTCAGTTCAGCTTACTGAATACAAATACAAATTCAGTTAAGCTTACTGAATACAAATACAAATACAAATTCAGTTATACTAATTCAGTTATACTTACTGAATATAAATTAGCTAAATTTAGCCACTAACTAATATTAGCCAATAATTAAATTGGCATGTTTTTAATTTAGGAGGGTAATATTAGCTCACAATAATATTCTACCTACCACCCACCCTGATTTACCTCTGCCTACCTACCACCCACCCCTCTTAATTCTATATAAACCACACCGAATTGGCACAAACACCAGTCAAAGCCAAATCCTTCACTTCTCCTTCCCCCAGCCGCCAGAGAGAACCCTAGGAGGGCATGGATCCTAGAGAGGTAGTAGATGCAGAAGCGCTACCCAGTGGAGCTAGGCGTAGAGAGGCAAGAAGGTTGCAAAGAAGGCAACTGGCAGAGAGGATCCTTGCAGCACGCAACCGCAAGGATGTACAGCAGTTCCTGGAGGCATTCCCACCTGGATCAAACCCTACTGATGATGATATCATCTACTAGGCAAGGAGGAGGGCTAATCTCCATCCTTTTCAGTGCACTAGGCAGAGGTGAAGTAGGATTCTCTACCCAGATAGATGATCTCTTAAACACCCAACTGCTCCTATATCTTCTATCTATGTATGAATGCACTGCATGTCAGTGAGTGTTTTATCTATGTATGAGTGAGTGTTTTATCTATGTCAATGCAAGTCTATCTATGTATGAGAGTGAGTGTTTTATCTATGTATGACTTAGAGTTTTATCTATATATCAGTCAGTGTTTTATCTATGACCACTATAAATTCAGGAAAATGGACATGCAAACAGAGAGAGACAAAATGGCCATTTAACTGAATCTTCAGTGAACTGGTCATTCAGTTTACTGAATCTTCAGTAACACTGTCAAAAATTCAGTTATCTAATAACACCTTGCAAATTCAGTCATACAAATACAGTTAACTAAAAGCAAATTCAGTCTAATAACACCTTGCAACAAGATAACTTGGGCAGTCATACAAATTCAGTTAACTAAAAATAGCCATACAAATTCAGTGCCTTAGGTGACACTGGCATACAAATCAACCAAGTTCATAAAGAAGTACAACTAATTAATAGCTCCAACTTAATGATTTACTCAATTTCATCTAAGATCTCCTTCACCCTCCTTATCTTGCTCTTGGTCTCCTCCTTGTGCCTGAATAGATCACCAATCATGTACTCTAGTTTCTTCTTCTCCTTCTTCAGCTCATCCCTCTGTGACAACACTTTGTCCAACTCTTCCTTCATGTTGTCCATCTGTTGCTTCATCTCATCCCTCTCTTTCTCTGCCTTAGCCCTCACAACCTGATGAATGGTAGTGGTAGATTTATCAGACATCTTCTTCTTCTCAAGCTCTTCCTTTATGTCAGAAAGAGCAAGTCTTGCATTGCCCAATTTAGTAATTGCCTGCTCCTTGTCAGCCACCATCTTAGCAAAATCTAGTTTAAAAAACCTCAGATCATTTTCCATCTTTTCCCTCTCTTTCACAACCCTAAAATTTTCTTCACCTTGAACTACACTTTCCCTGATCCTTAGCTTTAACTCATCATCATACATGCCCCAAACCCTGGCTAAACTCATCTTCAGAGTGGCAGGCCATTCAGGGTCAATCCACTCCACAAACTTGCATTTAGGTATTTCCTAACAAATAAGATAGAATTCAGTTAGTTCATTTTAATTCAGTTAAGTTCAGTTAGTTCACTTGAATTCAGTTAAGTTCAGTTTACTGAATTTAAATTCAGATAAGTTCAGCTATTTCATTGTAATTCAGTTTAGTTCAGTTAACTGAATTTATATTCAGATAAGTTCAGCTATTTCATTTGAATTCACTTAAGTTCACTAACAAGATGCTGTTAACTGGAAGATTCAATAAAGTTCACAAACTAGATGCTCTTAGCTGAAAATGCACTCCTCCACATTTAAATGGCACACTATTATACAGATCAAAGTAAGCTGACACACATTGCAAGTTTGGTAGATCTACTAACCTTTTGTGCACAAGCAAGATACCTCCTTCCACTATCAACTGATTCAAAGCACACAAACTTCTCACACACACACTGGTGTTCACATCTAGCTGCAAGATCTAGAGCAAGGCCTGTCCACTCAGAGCAGAAAATGGTGGCAGGAGCAGGAGCCTACAACATTGTGTACAACATAATCTAGTCAGCAAAGAGGCAGGCATCATCTGCTGAAATTTTGCTACTCGAAACATACCCCCTTCCCCATTTTTGCTCAATCCCTCACTCCAGAGACATAGTCAAGAACTAACCTCACTTGTCACAGAGTAGCCGTCGGACGAAGAGCTCGACCCTTCACTCCAAGATACCATGGCGGCGAGCTGGACGGTGGCGGCGAGCTGGTGGCGTAGAGAAGCTGTTGCTGGAGCTGAGGGGGGGCAGGGGGCAGATGGGGAACGAGTGGAGCTGGAGACCGGACGTGAGCTCGATTCATCCGACAGATTTAATTCAGGTGGTGGGTGACTGCGGGTTGAATCAGGCAAACTGCAGGGGGTTTTGTGCAAAATTGTGCGCGCTGACCGGCCCAGCCACTTGGCAGCCAATTGGCGAGCTCTGATTGGCCTGGGACTAAAACATCACATTGGATGCAAGTTGTGGTATGGTTTGGTCTAGTTTTGCAACTTTGGGACTAAAACATCACATTGTGTGCAAGTTAGGGTACCTGGGGTGCTATTACCTCAATGTTTTTTGTCAGTCCTTTCTTTCATTTATTTTATTCTATCCTAACATCCCCACTTGATTAATGAATTTTGGTTGTTGGTAAACTACAACAAAAAGGAGTTCAGAAATCAAGATGACCATCCTGTCCATCATTGCACACTTGTCATCTTCTGATCAATGTACTACTACTGTGAAGTCTGAACCTGTTCTTCACTCTGGAGCGAAGCCGCATGCAGGCCCCCATGCTCTGCGCCCCCACCCCACACAGAACAAATCTCTCTGCCTTGGCGATGCGACGTCCTGGGACTGGAAGCGAAGGAAATACGTACGTACAAGAGGATCAGACAGGCGATCGGGGCCGTGTTGGCAGCTACAGTTGGCGCTCTGAATCCGGGCGTGCCGGCACGGCGGCAGGC